AGGAGACTTGGACCTGCCTCGCATGGGCCAGTAGGCCTTCTGCAGTGTTTCTTCGTTCTTATGTTCTTATGTTCTTATGTTTCCTCAAGTTGCCTAGGTTTGGAGTAATGGGGTCGGATGGGGGTGCTAGATACAGTTTTGAAAGCACTTTCTCGTATAAATTATCTCATTTGATGAAGAGTGTTGCATGTGCCCCATCCAGCAAGCAGGCATTGACCTCCGTGGTCAGTCTCCCACGAGTACTCTTAGCGATCTCCAGCTGCTGGTCCTCATATGATCAAAACTCGGGTCAGGAAACACTTGTCTTCTTTCCTGACAAACTTTACCTAAACTATACAAAGTATAGATATAATAATAATAATAATAATTGTACATGAATGGTATACAGTACTGACAAGATGAAAAATTAGACACATGTACAACATCTGGGCATCTTTCTTGTAGACGTTTCGTAATCCTGTAGCCACTGGTTGGCGAAACGTCTACAAGTAAAGATACCAAGATGTTTCATTTGTGTTTAATTATTATTATTATTATTATTATTATTAATATTATTATTTTTATTATTATTATTATTATTATTATTTATTATTATTATTATTATTATTATTATAATTATTTTATTTTTATTATTATCATTATTATTATTTATTATTATTATTATTATTATTATTATTATTATTATTATTATTATTATTATTATTATTATTATTATTATTATTATTGTTATTATTTTTATTATTATTATTATTATTTATTATTATATTATTATTATTATTATTATTATTATTATAGTCATAGCAGCAGCAGCAGCATAGTGGTAGTAGTAGTAGTAGTAATAGTAGTAGTGGAGGATGTTATAGTAGTAGTAGTAGTAGTGGATGTTATAGTAGTAGTAGTAGTAGTAGTAGTGGTGGATGTTTTATTAGTAGTAGTAGTAGTAGTAGTAGTGGTGGATGTTATAGTAGTAGTAGCAGTAGTAGTAGTAGTAGTAGTGGATGTTATAGTAGTAGTAGCAGTAGTGGTGGATGTTACAGTAGTAGAAGTAGTAGTAGTAGTAGTAGTAGTAGTAGTAGTAGTAGTAGTAGTAGTAGAAGTAGTAGTAGTAGTAGTAGTAGTAGTAGTAGTAGCAGTAGTGGTGATTGTTATAGTAGTAGTAGTAGAAGTTAGTAGTAGTGATGGTGGATGTTACAGTAGTAGTAGTAGTAGTAGTAGTGGTGGTGGTGGATGTTATAGTAGTAGTAGTAGTAGTAGTAGTGGATGTTATAGTAGTAGTAGTAGTAGTAGCAGTAGTGGATGTTATAGTAGTAGTAGTAGTGGATGTTATAGTAGCAGTAGTAGTAGTGGATGTTATAGTAGTAGAAGTGGTGGTGGATGTTATAGTAGTAGTAGTAGTGGGTGTTATAGTTGTAGTAGTGGTGGTGGATGTTATAGTAGTAGTAGTAGTAGTAGTGGGTGTTATAGTTGTAGTAGTGGTGGTGGATGTTATAGTAGTAGTAGTAGTGGGTGTTATAGTTGTAGTAGTGGTGGTGGATGTTATAGTAGTAGTAGTAGTAGTAGTGGATGTTATAGTAGTAGTAGTAGCAGTGAATGTTATAGTAGTAGTAGTGGTGGTGGATGTTATAGTAGTAGTAGTAGTAGTAGTAGTAGTAGTAGTAGTAGTAGTAGTAGTAGTAGTAGTAGTAGTGGTAGTAGTAGTAGTAGTTGTGGATGTTTTGTAGTAGTAGTAGTGTATTAATAGTGAGTAGTAGTGGGAGTTACAGTAGTAGTAGTAGTAGTAGTTGAGTAGTAGTAGTGTAGTAGTTTAGTAGTAGTAGTAGTAGTAGTAGTAGTAGTAGTAGTAGTAGTAGTAGTAGTAGTAGTAGTAGTAGTAGTAGTAGAAGTAGTAGTAGAGGATGTTATAGTTGTAGTAGTAGTAGTAGTAGTGGGTGGATGTTATGTTTAGTAGTAGTAGAAGTATGTAGTAGTGGTGAATGTTACAGTAGTAGTAGTAGTAGTAGTAGTAGAAGTAGTAGTAGTAGTAGTAGTAGTAGTAGTAGTAGTAGTAGTGGATGTTATAGTAGTAGTAGTAGTTGCAGAAGTAGTGGTGGATGTTATAGTATTAGTAGTAGCAGTGGTGGATCGTTATAGTAGTAGTCGTAGTAGTGGATGTTATAGTATTAGTAGTAGTAAGTAGTAGTAGTTCAGTAGTGGATGTTATCGTAGTAGTAGTAGTCAGTCAGCAGCAGTAGTGGTGGATGTTATCGTAGTAGTAGTAGTAGTAGTAGTATGTAGTAGTAGTAGTAGTAGTGAGTGGATGTTATAGTAGTAGTAGTAGTAGTAGCAGCAGTAGTGGTGGATGTTATAGTAGTAGTAGCAATAGTAGTAGTAGTAGTAGTACTGGTGGATGTTTTAATAGTATTGCAGTATTAGTTAGTTGTAGAGTAGTAAGTTAGTAGTAGTAGTAGTGAGTTGTAGTAGTAGTAGTAGTGGAGTAGTAGTAGTAGTAGTAGTAGTTGTGGTGGTGGATGTTATAGTAGTAGTAGTAGTAGCAGTAGTGGTGGATGTTATAGTAGTAATAGTTAGAAGTTAGTTTGTAGTAGTAGTAGTAGTTGTGGATATTAATAGTATTAGTAGTAGTAGTAGTTAGTGTGTGGTGGATGTATAGTAGTAGTGTTAGTAGTAGTAGTGGTGGTGGTGGATGTTATAGTAGTAGTTGTAGTAGTAGTAGTGGATTGTTTTTGTAGTTGTAGTAGTAGTAGTAGTAGTAGTAGTAGTAGTAGTGGTGTTAAACGTAGTAGTAGTAGTAGTAGTGGTGGATGTTGTAGTAGTTGTAGTAGTGGTGGATGTTATAGTAGTATTAGTAGTGGTGGATGTTATAGTAGTAGTTGTAGTGAGTGGATGTGATAGTAGTAGTAGTAGTAGTAGTAGTAGTATGGTGGAAGTTATGGTTGTGGTAGTAGTGTGGTGGATGTTATTGTTAGTGGTTGTAGTAGTGGTGGATGTTATAGTTGTAGTAGTAGTAGTGGTGGATGTTATAGTAGTCAGTAGTAGTGGTGGATGTTATAGTAGTAGTAGTAGTGGTGGATGTTATATTTGTAGTGTAGTAGTTGTAGTAGTAGTAGTAGTAGTAGTGGTGGTTGTTATAGGTAGTAGTAGTTAGTAGTGGTGGATGTTATATAGTGTAGTAGTTAGCAGTAGTAGTGGTGGATAGTGATTGTAGTAGTAGCTAGACGTAGTGGTGGATGACAATGTAGTAGTAGGTAGTAGTAGTGGTGGATGGTTTAGTAATAGTAGTAATGGCAGTAGTGCGTGGAGTTATAGTAGTAGCAATAGTGGTGGATGTTATAGTAGTAGTAGTAGTAGATAGTAGTAGTAGTAGTAGTAGTAGTAGTAGTAGTAGTAGTGGTGGATGTTTATAATAGTAGTAGTAGTAGTAGTATTAGTGGTGGATGTTACTGTAGTAGTATTATAGTAGTGGTGGATGTTATAGTAGTAGTAGTAATAGTAGTAGTAGTAGTAGCAATGGTGGTTGTTATAGTAGTAGTAGTAGTAGTAGTATTAGTAGTTGTAAGCAGTAGTTGTAGTGAGCAGGAAGAAGTACTAAGTTGTAGTAGTAGTAGTGTAGTAGTGTAGTTGGGTAGTAGTGGATGGATGTTATAGTAGTAGTAGTAGTAGTAGTGGTGGAAGTTATAGTAGTAAGTTAGTAGTTGAGTGGTGGATGTTATAGTAGTGTAGTGGTGGTGGATGTTATTGTAGTAGTTGTGGTGGATGTTTAGTTGTAGTAGTAGTAGTGTTGTATGTTATAGTAGTAGTAGTAGTGGTGGAGGTTACAGTAGTAGTAGTTGTAGCGTAGTGGGGGTTTTATCAGTAGTAGTAGTAGTAGTGGTGGATGTTATAATTGTAGTAGTAGTAGTAGTAGTGGTAGTAGTAGTAGTAGTGGTGGTTGTTATAGTAGTATTAGTAGTGGTTGTTAGTAGTTGTAGTTGTTGCAGCAGTAGTAGTAGTAGTAGTAGTAGTAGTAGTAGTAGTAGTAGTGGATGACATAGTAGTAGTAGTAGTAGTAGCAGCAGTAGTGGTGGATGTTATAGTAGTAGTAGTAGTAGTAGTAGTAGTAGTGTGGATGTTATAGTAGTATTAGTTGCAGTATGGTGGTTGTTGTTAGTAGTAGAGTAGTAGTAGTATAGTATTAGTGCTGTGAGTAGTTGTAGTAGTAGTAGTAGTAGTAGTAGTAGTTGGTGGGTGGATGTTATAGTAGTAACAGTAGTAGTAGCAGTGGTGGATGTTATAGTAGTAACAGTAGTAGTAGCAGTGGTGGATGTTATTGTAGTTGTAGTAGTAGTAGTAGTGGTGGATGTTATAGTAGTAGATAGTAGTAGTGGTGGATGTTATAGTAGTAGTTGTAGTAGTAGAAGTAGTAGTGGTGGATGTTATAGTTCGTAGTCAGTAGTTGTGCGTAGTAGTAGTAGTAGTAGTAGTAGTAGAAGTGGTGGATCTGTTATAGTAGTAGAAAAACCCAACTATTAGTGGTAGTAGTAGTGGTGGATGTTATCAGTAGTTGTATAGTAGTAGTATCAGTAGTAGTTAGTAGTATAGTAGTAGTAGTAGTAGTAGTAGAAGTAGTAGTGGTGGATGTTATAGTCGTAGTAGTAGTAGTAGTAGTAGTAGTAGTAAGTGGATGTCATAGTAGTAGTAGTAGTGGTAGTAGTAGTGGTGGATGTTATAGTAGTAGTAGTAGTGGTAGTAGTAGTGGTGGATGTTGTAGTAGTAGTAGTAGAAGTTGTGGTAGTAGTAGTTGTTGTTGTTGTCTCCACTCATAATTAAACGCACATCGGTCAAAATTTGTTAACAAATTTAGAATTCATTTTGAACAACTGTCCAGCTGTTTTGATCATCAGCTGATGAAGGCTACGATGAATTGCCTGTTATCTATAGCTCATCAAAACAAATGTTACGATAAGGATCGCTTGGTCAGGAAAAAACTTATAATCAGCCTCACTCAGCGTCTGTCTACCCGAGACTAGACAGTTTGAAACCCTACGTCAGTTACTAGACAGAGCACGGCAGTTTAACAGTGACACAACACAAGGATCACCAGTCAGGCCACATAAGTGACACTGATCTGGCCACGGAGGGGTGTGTGTGCTGCCGATCAGATTACGGTAGTGCCGATCTTCTAATCAGACCACGGCACGCATGGAGGACCTGGTTGAACACAGTCAGGTGCCGCCTGTCCATGTACAGTCCCTTGTTGACGCTTTGTTCTTCATG